TCACTGGTTTGAGGTGGAAGCAGACCCTGGAACATCACCTGGTTTAACTACCCCCCACACCCCCAGCCATAAAAGATAAGAAATGTCCAAAGGATAATTTGCAGTGCCAGCACAGCAATATTTCCCATCTCCAGTAGTTGTCACGAGGCAGCAGGGCAGTCAGAAATAGCTTAAATTCATTGGAATCTATGGAAAAAACACTTCTGGAAGTCAAGGCTGTCCTTACCAAGTTGAGAGTCCCCAGCATGACATTCAAAGTGTTCATCTCTGGCTTGACCAGCTGCTGCCGGTTTATTTTCACCTTCACACAGTAACTGAAGAGTTTTAACAGCACCTGCAAATACAGCAAAGGGATTCTCTGTGGGACCTTCACAATGAGGGGGGGAATTTGCTGAAACTAAAGTAATAGATTAATACAATAATATACCTGATCTCCAGGCTGCTGGGATACAGTACGCCCCAGATTTTTACATAGCACAGCTCTGGTTTTCAGATAAGGCAGAAAACAATTCCTCCAGCAAGAGAGAATTTAGTCTTACCAACTCCTCAGGTTCTAGACATTTCAATTTTGTAAGGAATTGTTACCCAAAAAGAACAGGAGAGGGAAAGAACTGCTCCAGCTCAAGGAAGATTGTCTAAACCCCACGGACGTCTGTGGAATTTTCCACCCCATAACTCCTGACCCCAAAGGGAGACTCACGGTTAAGAGGTGCCGGCCCTGTTTGAAGTCCTTGATGCCAGTCAGTCTGTTGAGCATGCACTCCAGGCCTCCACACGGGGCCATCACCCCTGCCATCTTATACACTTCTTCCTCATCCTCCTCCTCATCTGCAGGACAGACACAGGTGGTGAGCACGGGAGCAGCCACAGCAGGACATGCTCAAGCAGTGGAAGCAGAAATGGAGAGCAGAGCAGCACACATTTCCCAGCAATTCCAGTCACTTCAGTTGTTTTGAATTCAAAAAGAATTAAGAGCAGGGATATGAAGAAGGGCTGAGCAGAATGGTCCCCGTGCCAAGCAAGTGCTCACATCTGAAACACAGCTTTAAAGCGCTGTTAAAATCCTCCTTCACTCGAGGTGAAGCAGGTAAATGCAGCAAAAGCAACGTCAATCAACTTTAAGCTCACTGCTGTGAGGATAATAATGTCATTGCTCTGCAGCAAACCTCAGATTTCAAATCTAATCCCAGCTTTCAGCAGACAAATGCATTACCAGTGGTGGAGTCGAGGGACTCGATGAATTCCTCCGTTGCATCTCCCAGTAACCCCCGCATGCGGTAAATGATCCTCATGGGCTCCCCCTGCAAGAGCAGAGCTTTTTATTCTTTCTGTCTGGGGGCACTTGTACACACGCCTGGTGCTGGTTTCAGTGTGTACAGACACCCCAGCCCCAGCTCTCCCTCGTGCTGTTTCACCCGATGATGGTGGCACAGGGAAATCTTTCACTCCCTCATTCTCCCCTTCCTGAGATGAATTAAAAACAACAGTAGAGCCACCTGCAAAAACATCAGTAACTCATCCCTTGGTCTGCCCAGCTTTTCTTGGCACTGCCAATTAATTGACAGACTCGTAATAAACAGTCTCTTCCTCCTTCCATCTCCTCCAGGTTTCCTTTAGCACCAGTGAAAGACAGAAAATGGGTTCATCTGCAGAGGAACACCTGCTTTCCATGGCAACCTCTCCTCTGAGGATATGGCACAGCATACCTGGGAAATGCAGGGAACAGGCACAGCCCAGGAAATGAAGCAGGACAGGCTAATTGGATGAAAGCTTTCAAACAGATAAAATCTCCAGTGATGGCAAATGGAAGAGGAGTAAAAGGCAACTTAATGAGCCTTCAGTAAGACAGTACATCACTGACACAGCCAAAAAGCTGTGCTTTTACCCTGAGAAAGGGACACTTTTCCAGATGCATTGCCAGCTGGAAATACTGACAGCATATCACAAAACTTTCCATTTTTAATCCATAGGTCTGAATAAAAAGCAGAAAAGAAAAATCCCAGATTTGGGAGCAGGAGACCTTGCAAGAGAAAACCTGTCAGGGATCGTGCTAAGCCTAATGTGGAATAAGCAGTGCTTAATGTCACAGCAAATACATAAGCACAGGGAAAGCCCCGGGGGGAAGATCTGCTCAAAGGCCACGCTGGCGACCAGCAATTAACACCACAGGGGCCCTGGTAAAGCGGCAGATGAACAAAAAAAGCCACTGAGAGACAAGGGAAACAAAAAGGGGCCTGAGGTTGCGTTTCTTGTGTGCCTGTCGCTCCCAGGGAACGGGAGCTGCGGCTCCAGGAGGTGCTCACAAAGGAAGACAGATGAAAGCCGTTCATCCACAGGAATGCTGAGCAAACTCTGCCTTTCACCAGCAGAGCTGCTTCCCTCCCGGGAGAGCCGCACGGGAACAGCTCCTCCAGGGGCAGCACGGGGATCATTTCCACCACTGCCTCCATCAGAATTCAAAGCAGAACTCACAGGTTAACACCAGCACCTCATCTCCCTTTCTACCTTGGTACCTTGCTAAAAATTTATCACTGTGTCACAAGGTTTGGGCTTGATTTTGCAGTACTGAAGGCTTTGTTCTTGAAATAAAGCTTAACGAGATCCATTTTATCATCATTCACTGCTAACTGGCACTTTGTTTGAATTCCTCCCACAAATGGCTTCAGGAAACTGAGGTTTTAAAGGTGATTTGAGACCAGGAGGAAATGAGGAATGACCAAGAAATGCTGGGCAAATCAGTCTTGTTTTATGATCTCAAGTGCCTCTAAAAATATATTTGTAGTGGGCAAGCTTGAGCCTGATGGTCTCAGTGGGAGTTTGTTTTAGTGGTCACAGGGAAAGAAGGGAAGAGCTTGTTCTGGACCACATCCACCTCTGGAACAAGCTCAGTATGACACGGTGGACTGGACCCTTAAGATTGCTGGGTCCATTTCTTCATGTGAAAAACACACAACACACACTATGAAAAACAAAAAAAGGACGAATCTGCCAAGTGTTTGAGATCTCGATGAAAAACATGAAAGCAGAAGTGCAAATATGGAGAAGCATTGGATGCTCTGTGCATAAATAACTTGGGTTCACCCCCGAAGCACAGAGTGATGGAGCAATCTGGTGTCCCTGTGTGCACACACACAGAACTTTTGTGTGCAGATGGAGTGTGAAATGTGCTCTGAAAGGCAGTGAAATGTTCAGCTCTCCCCAGGGAACACAGGGAACGCTGTTCCTTGGGAAGAGTCACGTGTGGCACAGGACACAGCTCACCTGGGGCACTGCTCTGCAATCACTCACGTTGCAGGGCCATGCACAATCTGTCCTAACAGAGCACCAAAAGCTGCTGAGCAGTTACACCCAATAAATTATATGCCAGGAAATAAATCCTGACACGTGTGATTTTGATTTTTCCCCTTTTTTTTGTTGATGAGAAGGACAGGTGCTTTGTGCTGTTAACTTGTACAAAGGTAACACACCTCGTTTGTGGGACACCACACCTTCTTGTAGACCTCAGCCACTGGCAGATCCAGACTGATGATCTTGTTGTTCACCAAAAGCTGAAACGGAGAGAAGAACAAGTCAATAACAAGCTCAGGTTGTTACATCACCACCCCAGCAACCACCAGCTGCCCCAAACCAGCATCCCACAGGTCTGTGCAAGAAATCCCTGCCTCATGAAATTCTCACCTCCATCCCGCTGTCGTCCTCCAGCAGAGCCACCAGGTCACAGTCCTGACAGATCTTGTTCTTGATGTCCCTCATGAGAGGCCCGATGCCAGGCTCGTTACTGCTGTAGGGATTCCCTGGCATCCTGCCCTGCAGGAAATCTTCCTGCTGGGGATCTTTCTCCAGAGTGACAAAGAACTCGGTGACTTCATTCTCCTCCTAAAGAGCAGCAGCAGAGACAGAGTGAGTAAGTTTTCCCCTAACCATGCTCCCGTTCCTGCATTTTTATGGGAGAATGTTCCTAAACCTTCAGTCCTTTCCTCACTGCTGCATCTGCTCTGCATGCCACAGTCAGAGGATGGCCAGGATCACTGAGTAACCAAATTCCTCAGGAAACCTGAACCCCCTCGAATGGGATGCAGGTCTACACTGCCTAATGGTGAATTGTGACTGCAGACACTGCTGCTCCTGGGAAAAAGGAACCAGATCTAGGGTTGCTAGATGTGTGCTGCCTTGTTCTTTTGAGAGTTTTAAAGTTCTTCTATAAGTTTTTTTATGTCTTCTGATGTTTACATATTTCTACTGGAGTTCTCACGTATGTTCATGTAAATGATTGTTTTGCATTCTTCTTTGTAGGTAGAGAGAATTGATAGACTGTTAGTTTGTCCAGTGTGGTTGGAGAGGTGGCAGTTTCATCCTTCAGTCTACTGTCACTTCTGTGATTCTATATATTGCAGAGTCAGAAAATAAAGCTCTCTCTTGTTACTCTTCTTCTTCCCTCTTTTACATCTAATGTGCATGTGTGAGTTATTTCGTGTTGTAGTGTGACAGATGTGGCTGGTGGTGATTCTCCTCCTCTATCATGAGACCCCCACCTGGAACACTGCAGCCAGTTCTTGTGAGCCCCAACAAAAAAAGGACATGGAACTGTGGGGGCAAGTGCAGGGGAGGCCACAGACTTGCTCAGGGGACTGGAGCACCTCCCCTATGGAGACAGGCTGGGAGAGTTGGGGATGTTCAGCCTGGAGAGGAGAAGGTTGTGTGGAGAGCCCACGACACCTTCCAGGGTCTGAAGGGACTACAGGAAAGACTTTTCATCAAGAGCTGCAGTGGCAGGACAAGGAGGAATGGATTGCCCAGAGAAGCTGTGGCTGCTCCTGGATCCCTGGAAGTGTCCAAGACCAGGCTGGCCAGGGCTCAGAGCATCCTGGGATCATGGAAGGGTGGGACTGGACAATCTTTAAGTCCCTTCCCAAAGCATTCAGGCTCTGTTGAGGCAGTGTGACCCTGCCCTCACTACTCACAGGGTAGATGATGCTGCAGAGCCTCTCAAAGATGAACACGGGGGTCCTGTAGTCATCCAGGCTGTAACGCTTGGCAGTCTCTATGCACACGGCCATGAACGCCTTGGTCTCTGACTCTGTGCCTGCCAAGAAAAGGAAGCTTTAAAATGGACACTGCAGTCAATTTTATAGATTCCACTTTAGCTCAGCACAGGCAGTAAATCTTTCTGCAGCCAGTCCCACAATTTGGTGGCTCTCTTCTTTTGTGAATCCACTCTGTGAAAGACGGAAGGTATTTTTTTGGTAGGGTTACTAGGAAAGCCTCTGCATGGCTGGGCTGCAGTAAAATAGCCCCATAAAAATGAGGAGGCTGAGATTCCTGGAAAATAAGAGGTGACTAGGAATGCTGTTCAACTGCTCTGTGCCAACAGAAAATACTGGAAGCCATAAACCCCCCTGATTACAGCAGTCATTTAGGTAAGCTCTTTGTGTGGCTGTTCTGCTTTTCCATCTTGGTTGATCCCAAGGCTGGATTTATGGAACAGAGGTGGTTTCACCTGTTGTCATGTCCTCCAGCATCTCCAGCAGCATGTCCTGGGTCTCATCAATCAGCTTTGTCCTCTGCACCACCAGCTTCCTCAGGCACAGGTAGCCATTGAGCACCGTGCCCACCAGCCGGCTCTTGAAGTGCCTTTTGATGGACTCCACCTCCACGAAGGAAGAGAGAAGACCTAGAAAGCCACAGAAATTCAGGCAGGTGGGAGAGAATTTGATTTCTAAATTTCATAGCAGCAAATAGGGCACAGTATCATAAAAATGGCTTGCTCCAGCTCTCATCAGTCTGGGGTTTAAAGCTCACTCCTGTGAACTGAGTGGTTGTAGGCAAAAGCCTCGGCCTGGCTTGTAAATTGTAACATATGAAAAATAGTTTTGGAATGAGGAAAGGGCCTGTGAGCTTGATACAAAATTCTGCACTCTTTGGCATTTTTCTGTCACAAGCTGTTCCAAAAGCAGATGACTGCTCCTCTTGTAATACTTTTAAGACCTTTGATGATGTGAAATGACTTATCAGTGACATCACCAAACTGGTCGCTCCTACAATAAAGTAAAGAATCAGCAAACACAAGGATTCTTTCCTATGACACACTGATCAACATGCTGCTTCTTGCAAGAAGCCAGGCTTTATGGATTCACCCACTAATGGCTGAAGAATGTGAAAGAGGATACAAAAAACAATGATCTAGTTGATGAGGTATTTCCATTTCCAACAAATTTTTGTAAAAGTGTATACACCCTAGAGGATAAAAGAAAAGCTTCTATAGAATAGGGAGGCAGGAACAACAGGTAGGAATAAAGCAGCAGTGTTTACAGTGCTGCCAGGGACTGTACTGTGTAATAAAGTGAAATGATGAAGCTTGCCTGGTATGTTACCACAGTTCAGCCAAAAACTCTTTCTGACCACAAAAAATATGGAAAAATCCATTTAGAGATTAAGTCCTAAATCGATGCCAAAAATCCAGTGCTGACAATGGCAACACCACTGAGTGAGATCTCTCTGAAATTCTGCCACAGGCTGCTAGAGAACAATGATCACCCAGCTCTAACCTGCTGCAGGCCCACTGAATACCTGTGAGACTCTTCAGGGCATATCCCTGCTGCAAATCCGTGCTGAGTGTTGCTTCCTCCAAGGCCAGCAAACGAGCTATTTCCTGAAAATAATTAACAGCCTGTTAGCCAAGCCCCTGCAATGCCAACAACCATGGGGGTGTCTAACACAGGGTGCAAAGAACTCAGCACAGAAAGCACAACTGCAACAGCGGGGAGGGAAGGGGAAAGGAGAGGAAAACTGCCACAAATCCCTCTTGTTTTCTCCCTGCACCTTCCTGCTACCACTGCTTGGCTCTAGTGCCCTCCAGGAGCACTCACAGCCACCACTGATATGGAGAGTGTCACCTGCCTCTCTGGAGTGCAGCAGGGACCCCCACAGAAACCTCACACCACTCTGAACACTGCAAACCCAGAGTGCTGCTTCTCCAAAGGCTGTAATTCCCATTTCTCCAGCAATGGCAGCACCATTGCCTGATCCTTCCCTGTCCCTAAGGGCTCTCAGAGCCCAGCCTGGGAGCTGCACAACAGCTTCCAGCTTCGACCTGGTGCCAAGCCAGTGCAGCAATATTTACAATCCCAGAGCAGTTAATTAAAGTGCTGAGGAATTCTCCAGCTGGGGCTAAAACCCCCCGTGGGCCCCTCTGTTCAAAGGTAACAGCACTGAAGTGTGAACTTGAGAACCTTGGCTGGGTCAGCAACAGGGCACTGAACAAAGGGATGGAATTTCAAAGGGGAAAAATAGCCAAGCCAAGAGGTCATTTTCTGCACACAAATCCATACCTTAGTGATGAGGCTGCCAATGTAGGGCAGAACCCCTCTGGCTGCCAGGTAGACCTTCCAGTGGGCAGGTTTGATGAGTTTCTGATACAGGGCCAGGTACTCAGCAGCACATTCACCAGCAATGCTCAGCTCATCCAGGTAGCTGTGAAAGAGGAGCACAAGCTGACAAGCCTTTCACAGATACAAAAGGAATTCCAGCTTAAGGACACTGTGAGAAGGAAGAAAAAGCCTCCAGAAATCCATCCTCCCTGTTGTCCTTGGTAACACCATCACCGATATTCATTACTTGCTTGCTAAATTAGTTATCTGTCCCAGGAAGGAGTTAACTGTGCTATCAGCATGAGCTGGGGTAAGTTAATGTCACAAAAGTTGGAAGAGACTTCACCCTATTATTCTGCCATTGAAGAGACAGGGGAAATTTTGGCCACACAGCTGATCCTTACTTCTGGAAAAAATACAGACTGCAAGAGCTCATTCCCAGGCAGCAAACCCAACTCTCACTAAATCTATACCCTCCCAGCTAATTAAGTTAAAAAATCCAGGTCAGAAAGACCCCTGAACTGCAGGTATACAAGGGAGAGGTGTGAGAAAAGCTCCAAGAAAGGAGAGATTCTGATGGGAATTGAAGACAAACACTCGTGGAGCTGCCAGGTGTGGCAGCACAGGAATACCTGGTGAGGAGATCAAGGACCTGCTGCTTCCTGCTGGGGATGGTGGCCAGGGCCTCCACGATGGTGCAGGCAGCCTGCCTGGCAGCCTGGGTGGCAGGAGTGAACAGCACCTGGGCAGGGGCAGGAAAAGCCAGGTCAGACCCATAGGCACAGATGAACTTGTGACAGCTCACAAGAAGGCACAACGTGGGGGCTGTTGGGTGACCTGGTGGCAGTGTTTTCTTGCTCTCCCAACACTTGGTTCTGTGACAATTCCTGCTCTGCTCAGCACCAAAGTGTTTAGAGAGTGCATGCTGTGGGGGACCTGCTAGCCCACACACACAGGAAGCAAAGATCTGCTCCAGCACCCTCAGAAGTGCAGCTCATCAGCCAGGCAGGAGCACCGTGGCAATCACAGGTTCAGAGTTTAAGAACCCACAGACTCCCAAATAAACATTTGATGCAGCGTTTCTAAGGGAGCACAGCTGCAAACCTGACTTGGAATTAAGAGGCAGTGAGTGCCAGCCTCCCCAGACACCCCTGCAGAGGAACTGCAGCAAACCACCCACCCTGTGTGACTGAACCCTGCCCGGGGCTCTCCCACCTTTACCTGGCGCAGCCAATTGTTGTGCCCCAGCTTCAGATCCAGAGGACAAGTTCTCTTCCCACGCCGACTCATGAACTGCTTCCACTTCCAGACGTATTTTTCTGACAAGTAGAGCTGGTGAAGCTCAGCTTTGCTGGGAGTTTTCCCGTTGGCATCTGCACCTGCAATATTGAGCAGAGCCCAAGAGAACTGTCAGCAGCTATGAACTGCAAACTGCCAGAGTATTTTTGTCTTCCTACTGGAACTCGCCAAACTCCAGCTGGGAGCTGAGTGCTTCCCATCTCCTCCTGCTGCCATTTTCACTCCTGTGTGGAGCCATCTCAATTCCAAGCCTCATGCAAATCCCAGAGCCTCTCTCAAGGAATTCCATCAGCTTTCCAGCTGGCTGGTAACAATTTAAATAAGTTTCATTTTCTACAGTCCCTGATTCTCTTCGGGCACAGAGCATTTTCTGTTTAGGGTTTGAGGCACACAGCCTGGAGAAGTCAGTGCTACAACTCTAGTTGTGAGGATGGTATCAGATGTCAAGGAAGAGAAGTCACCACAACTCCACAGAAGCACATTCCTTATTAAATCTGGGGACACACACGTTCCTGCACAGAACTGCAACAGCTCACAGGCACAGGGGTTACCTCTGGCAGGGAGGCACTTCTTCCAAGCTTCATACGATGCCTTGGGGTCCCTCTTGAGCCACAGCTGAGCCTGTGCATGGATTTCATTGCTGTAAGGCTTCACAGTGGTGAGAGCATCCATTGGTACATCCTAACAAATAAAAAAGCTCTGTGATTCTTCAGAAAGCTACAGTCTGCCCCCAAAGAGCAACTCCTGAGGTGACTGGGCCATGAAGAGGCAAATGCAGCTCTTGGACAGCAGCAGGATAATACAGTGTCTGTTAATAGTGAACTAAGAGATATTCCAGATTCTACTGAAATATCAGTAAACCCATCTCTGACATCCATGTCTGATTATCAGACAGGCAGATCAAAGCAAAGAAATACCTTCTCTCCTGCAAATCTAATCCTAAAATTAACAGCAGTCAACCAATATATTTTAATGAGAACCATAGTTCTGTATTTAAAAATCTGAGTCAGAAGTACTTGATTCTTTCAAATTTAGGAACTTGATTCTACAAAGCTGCTGAAAGCTCAAAGCCTGCCCAAAATAACCAAGCTGTGGCTTTGAAGTAGCTCTTTCCCCATGCCTCAGATCTGAGGGGAAAACAGCAAACCTTCAACAGTTGTGGTCAAAGCCACCAAAAACAGTGAAAAATAGAAAGTAGCCATCTGAAATTTGCAGTGTGCAAAGACCAGAGTCACAGGGCTTGGGCTTTCCCAGGAACAGTGACCAGGTGAAGCAAGTCCTGGCTTCCTCACAAACTAGTTCCTCACTGAGATCAGCGTGCCAGACTTCAATCAGCAAATTCTCAATGTTTTGCTCAGCCTCTGGGGCAGTACCTTGTTTTTCTTGCTGGTTGGAGCAGGTGGCTTGATGAGCTTCTGGAGTATGCGCAGGCACATGAGGGTGATGTTTTCAACAACCACCGGAGTTTTGATGTTCACTGCCATCAGGAAGAGGCTGAGAGCTGAAAGCAGACAGGGGTGCTCATTATCCTGTGAGAGCTGCAGGCAGGACACACCTCCACAGCCCCAGCCAGCACTTGAAGTGGGTTTAGAGGTGGAAATGCTGCTGCACTTGCTGGTCCTTGGGCGGGTGGTGGCACTCACCGCAGCGCAGCCGCAGCTCCCAGCAGCTGTCCTCCTTGGAGATGGAGTCTGTCAGCAGCAGCATCTCGTACTGGAGGCTGCTCGCCTGCAACACACAGTGCTCCAGCTCTTGGGGTGCCCCAGCTGTTGGGGGTGCCCCATTCCCTTCTGCCTTCTCAGCTTTAATAAACTCAGGTTCAAAACACATGGATCTAAATTAACTTAATCCCATGCCCACTTGGGGTGATTTGACCTGCTGGAGAAGTACAAGCAAAGCCAAGACAAGGAACTGTAGTCCAACTGCCTGAGGAAACTTCAGCATGTGCTTGTACATAAAACTTTGTGCTATACTCTGACATTTATGTAACTTCCTATTGAAACTCAATATTTTTTCTTACAAACAGACCGCAAGACAGAAGATGCAATGAATAGAATACACCAGCAGTGCAGAGGGGCAGAACAAAGAAACAGGAAAACACTGGAGTGTCTCACCAAGTCTGGATTTGCCCAGTGTCCTTTCAGAGCTGCAGAAACCTTCCCAATGATTAAGTCATTCATTTGCTGTGTGGCCTCTGGATTGTCCCTGATTCCAGGAAGAAAAAGACAACACTGTTATGGTCTGCTTGTACTAAATGCCAAAAGCTCCTGGGATTTCAGCTCAGCTGGTAACAAGTGCACAGGGGGTAACACTTCTGGTGTACAACACACCCATGGCAGGGGTGGGACTCTGAGATCCCTTCTAACCCAGAGCACTTTGTGATTCTAAGGTAACTGCCCCTATGAGGCTTTCCCCTTCCTGAGGGGGCTTTCCTGATGCCTTTTTGGGACTACCTAAAAATAGAGGCCAGATAAAATTAAGGGAATAAAAAGTGCTTGTATTTGCTGAAGGGCCTTCAGGTACATCTCAGGCAGGGGCTACACCCAAAAATGGACCAGGGCTCACGGGTTTTCACACTTTGGTAACATTTGTCCATTTGCATACTGGGGGTTAATCCTCCAATTCCAGCTTCATCTAATGAAGTAATTTACCCCAAGTTTGCTCCCCCCAGCTCCCTTTTGTTTAATTTCCCGGGGCCTGAGGCAGTGAGGTGTCCTTGATTACCAGGCCTGGAGAGGAATTGGAGCTCTACACTAAAGAACTGCAGGGTTATTATACAAATTACAAATTGCAAATACAAATTACAAATAATAAGATATATATTAAAGGAATAGATGAAATCCTGAGGCATCAGCTCCACCTTGATGCTGCCTTGTATTTACTGAAGGGGTTGCAGGTACATCTCAGGCAAGGGCTACACCCAAAAATGGACCAGGGCTCACGGGTTTTAACACTTTGGTAACTTTGGTCCATTTGCATACTGGGGGTTAAACCTCCAATTCCAGCTTCAGCTAATGAAGTCATTTACATCAAGTTTGCTCCCCCCAACTCCCTTTTGTTTAATTTCCCGGGGCCTGAGGCAGTGAGGTGTCCTTGATCGCCAGGCCTGGAGGGGAATTGTTGTGTGTGCCCAAAACGGGAGAGCAGCAGCTGAGCCTGTGTGGAGTTTGGAGTTCTGCACTAAAGAACTACAGGTTAAAAACACAGAACTGCAGGTCACAAAAAACAGAACTGCAGGTTACAAAAAACAGAACTGCAGGTCACAAACACAGAACTGCAGGTCACAAACACAGAACTGCAGGTCACAAACACAGAACTGCAGGTCACAAACACAGAACTGCAGGTCACCAACACAGAACTACAGGTCACAAACACAGAACTGCAGGTTACACAGAACTGCAGGTCGCAAACACAGAACTGCAGGTCACAAACACAGAAGTACAGGTTAGAAACACAGAACTGCAGGTCACAAACACAGAACTGCAGGTTACACAGAACTGCAGGGTCACAAACACAGAACTGCAGGTCACAAACACAGAACTACAGGTTACACAGAACTTCAGGGTCGCAAACACAGAACTGCAGATTACAAACACAGAACTGCAGGTCACAAACACAGAAAATGGAAAAGCTCAAAGCCTCAGGCACCACTCCCAAGGACGATGGGTGCTCCCGGGAGGAGCAGCTCTCACCTGGTCAGGAGGCACATGAGCTGCCGCACCTCCTCGCGCATGGCGGCCGCGCCGCGGCGCAGGTTGTAGTCGAAGAGCTCTCGGATGAGCCCCTGGGCCACCAGGATGTGGCGGATGGCCCCGTTGGTGGCCAGGGCCCGCAGCAGGGTGATGCAGTGCTCGGTGACGGCCGAGGCGCAGCCGTAGCACTTGGTGGAGGACGTGTGGCCGCAGCCCAGCACCGACAGCGCGCGGTACTGGCTGGCCGTGAAGGTGGGCAGCGCCGAGCTGCGCGAGGACTTGGTGGCCGCCTCGCGCTGCTGCAGGTCGTACTCCAGCAGCTCCTTCCGGGAGGCAAACACTTTCTGGGAACACAGATGAGGAACCGTGAGCCAGCACACGATGCTGCTCTCAGGCACAGGTTATTTTTGCTGTGTATTTTGGGGAGAAATATTTTTCGAGAGTCTTTACAAACCAGCTGTGGGTCTGCTGGTGGATAAAACTAGATACTGAGATTTAAGGATTCCACTGCTTGATGAATGGAAAAAGGTATTTGCTTTTACAAATTAACTTTAGGTTTGCTGATAAATGAAATTGGATATTGAAAGATGAAAGAAACAATGGGGAAAAACCCTAAATTCCATAAGAATTAAAAAATGAAAAGGAGTTTATACATTAGAGGAAAATCTTCAGGATTAGGCATTCTGGGAAGTCTATACCTCTCAAGTACCTTAGCCAATGGGGAGAGAGAGAAGGGAAATGTGGTTGGAAAATTAGGATAAAAGAGGAGGCTGCATCCTCCAAAAATTGGAGAGACCCCAGGGGAATGCCCTGTGGCCTCTCCCTTTATTCAAATAAAGCAAAAGGATTCCTCTGTCTCCTTTTTGGACACAAACCTCTGATATTTATGGATTAATCTTCCTGATATTTCAAATGTTTCCAAACTTGAAATCCTTCATGGCAACAGCAGACTTGGGAAATCCATGAGGAATATCAACCTAACTCATTTATCAAAGAATTCACAGAATGACTCGGTTGAAGAGACCTTAAAGATCATTGAGTCCAACCCAACCTTAACACCTCAACTAAACCGTGGGACCCAGTGCCACATCCAGTCTGTTTTAAACACATCCAGGGATGGTGATTCCACCACCTCCCCAGGCAGACCATTCCAGAACTTTATCACTTTATCCTCCCTGCTGTTTACACTACATGCAATGTAACACTGGAAATGTGACAAATCCATAGTATTAATTACTATTAATACTGGCAGAGTAAGTCAGAGTAATTTATTCCTTATAGAAAGAGCCAAATATATTTAATATGCTCAAGTATCACAGCCAAAAGGACATTCGTGATGTAGCAGGTTTTCCAGAGTTTATGTCACTTGTTGAGCACAAATAAATGCATTTAATTTATAAAACGCTTCTGTAGGTCATATTTTAGACTGGTGTGTTTTCAAACATTTGGATACATGCAAAAATTCAATTCTCTTTAATTAGCCATCTGTTCAGTCTCCTGCTCTTCTGAGAAAACCAGTTTCACAAGCTAGCTGAAATTTTAGTAATTAATACATAGCTTTTAGAAATTGTTATTATTTCCCTGAAAATATGCAGCTGATCACTTGCTGCTACTGATATCATTAAATGAAGAATGGCAACATCTTGGTTTTTTTTTCCCTAATAAACACCTGGCCCAAATCCAAACCAGAGCACACCGTACCTGGATGATTTTGGAAAGTTCATCGAAGGAGTTCTTGCAGTCCCCACAGTACTCCTGGGCTAACTGCAGGATGTACCTGTTCACGCTGGCTGAGGTGGAACTGATCCCTCCACTGTTGCCCGACTCATCCTGGGACAGGGGAAAGCAAAGTGGAATCACAAAGGGAGGTTCCACACAAAAACAACAACGGCAGAGCAGCACCTGAATCAAGGACTGCCTGGGCAGAGCCAAGGCCAGCGTGTCCCCAGCCTGGAGGTCTGTGCAAGCTCCACCTGGCCCACGTTACCTGGGGCTTCTCAGGGGCTGCCTCGTTCACTTTGCACAGGAGGTTCTCCAGCTGCGGCCGGTGCCCCATCAGTTGGTGGTACACCCTGTCAGCCTTGTCCAGCAGAGTGTTGATGTTCGTCACCGCCTACCAGGGGAAAAGGAAACTCTTATTTCATGTTCACAGCTACAGCCACCAAGCTCCAAGTCTTCTCTGTTGCTTTTGTTTGTGGGGAGAAATCACTGAATTGTGACCCTGAAGCCTGGTTCTGCTCTGAGAAGCACTGTGGTGACACTGCTGAGCACACCCTGTGACACTACACCGAGCACACTGACCCTTTGGGACCGGACACTGAGTGCATAAGGTTCTTTATTCATTAGCAGGGCTCCTCAGGTGGGATGGGAAGCAAACAGAATAACCCAAATCCATCCCCTTCTACAGCAAGGCAAAGAGATACAGTTCAAAAGTGAGGCACTGAATGATGTCTTCTGAACAATTACTTGTCTTGTGGAGCAAGACACAAACCCAGAATGCATCAGCCAGTGAGGAGCCTTGAAGGAGCACTGATTTTGACAGGGGATGGAGCCCTGCTGTCCCCACGATGGCTCCAGAATCTCCTGGCAGCCCCACCTTCTTGCGATCCTCCTCGTTCTCGATGGGGTCCACGGCGCAGCAGGGCTTGGCATAGAGCATGAAGTCGAAGCGGGCGTATTTACAGAAGCCACAGGCATTGCACAGGAAGGGATCCTTCTCATCGTAATTGATGGACCTGAAAGGAAGGCAGCAGCTCAAAACCTGCAGCTCAAGGCTGCTGATGCAATGGAACAAACTGAACGGGCTCGGGTAAAAGAGGAGAGTGACTTAAAACACCAGACTGGCCTGGGGAAGGAAATACTTGAGAATCAAAACCTACAGATCAGGCAGCAAAAAAGTCCTTGCAGCAGTGCCACGTTCTGGCTGGAAAAAGCAGAAACAGCAGTTGTTCCTAACAATCCCACTTTAATGACAGTAATTCCCAGTAGAAAGTCAGGGTGGGGAACTGTGTCCTTCAGAAGAACACAGATACAGGAACTGCTCTGGTTTGTAGGGTCTGGCCTTTGCAGTGGGACTGACTGTGGCACTTCTCATCCCACTGCAGACCAGGGCAACAGACAGAACTGATTTATAGCTCCCAGAAGTGATGTGGAAACCTTTCCACACATCAGCAAACACCAGGAAAGACACTAAACACCTCGAATCCCTTGAGAATTAGAGAGGAATAGGGACAACAGTAAGGGGAAAGAGATATCAGATAAGGAGACAAAAGTGACAAAAGAGAAGGATTTCTAAGGCTATAGTAGAAGTGTGAATAGCACACAGTAAATTACCCCCGAGCCTGCTCTGAATGAGGAGAGCACAACAAAAGCCATGAATAGAACTGTCTGTCCAGCCCCAGCCAGGGATCCTGGGGGAAGCCCTGCAATCCCACAGCTGAACTCCAGCCTCCAGCCCAGGCAGCCAAAAATAACCTGCTCCGGGGAATTCTGTGGTGTGAACTTCGAGGGCTGGATGTGAAACTTCAGCTCACTGAGAATTGTGCTCCCAGGCTCTCTTTGTTAGCCTGCATTACATTAAATCCCTGTAAGCCTGTTTTATACTTCCCCACTAATTTGATTGTGCGCTTGTATTAACCAGAATGGGGGATTTACATGGCAGGGGGTGTGGGGCACCCGGGATGACTCTGGGGGACACACACCTGCA